ATGCATATGTTGAGATGGATGTGTGGCCACACGAGGAAGGATCGAGTCCGGAATGATGATATACGAGATAGAGTTGGGGTAGCACCAATTGAAGAGAAGCTTGTCCAACATCGTCTGAGATGGTTTGGGCATATTCAGCGCAGGCCTCCAGAAGCTCCAGTGCATAGCGAATGTCAAGAGAGGACGGGGTAGACCGAATTTGACATGGGAGGAGTCCGTTAAGAGAGACCTGAAGGATTGGAGTATCTCCAAAGAGCTATCTATGGACAGGGGTGCATGGAAGCTTGCTATCCATGTGCCAGAGCCATGAGTTGGTTGCAAGATCTTATGGGTTTCACCTCTAGCCTACCCCAACTTGTTTTGGACTAAAGGCTTTGTTGTTGTTGTTGTTGTTGTTGTTGTTGTTGTTGTTGTTGTTGTTGTTGTTATTGTTTGTTTCTATATATGTATCAATTAGCTACATATCACAATTGTAAGTGTTATACTTATGGTTGAGAAGACGCATTTTTGCCAAAAAATCCTAGTGCCAAAACTGCCAAATCCTTTGCAGACACACATCACATAAACTGAATTTTGCATGATGGCGCTGCCAAATACAGGCATAGAGATATGATTACCTGCATCTGCATATGCAAAGGATTCATACATGCATCGGAGGACAAGCATGGGGCAGCATGGGATTTGCACCTTCGGGCAACGAGGAACGGTAGCCATAGCATCTCAGCCTGATCTAATGATCTTGCTTTGGCCTCGTGGCAGCACGATGACCGCCCATGCAGCCGCACCATGGCGCTGATTGTAGCCCGCAGCGACGCCGGCTCGCCACGCTTACGCTCACCCTTGGAGAAGCCACCGACTACAGGCAACGCCACTCCCCCGCCCCCGGGCTACCTGCGGGAGGAGCTTGGTGGCGGCAGGGCTCGGCCGCCTTGGGTGGGTGACATCAGTTAACTCCTCGCCAACGGCCACCTCATGCGTCGAGCGAACTACTGCCGCCCACGAGATCAAAGGCACACTACCCCAAGCGGCAAGATCGAAGATGACTTCCCTACACTCATGTGGAGGAGGAAACCTTGCAAGCGTCGGAGGAGCGGTACTCGTTGGCGGCGGCCAGATGGCTCGGCCATGTCGGGTGGGTGGTTTCAGTGGTGGGATGCATGGCGGCCCTCATGTCGGCTACGTCTGCAATGGCAGGCCCTGGTGTATCATGCCGAGATGAGAGACCCGAACCATAGAGAGAGAGAGAGGAGAGGGATGTATGGGGAAAACAGAGATCAGAGCAATCTTACCACTACATGTTTTCTATGCATCAGCTGCAGCACGACCCATGCTTGAGAAATCCATAGGCAACACGGAGTATATACAGTAGCAGCATCCGATCGAAAAGATTTTGGCTCACAAGCTAGTGCCCTTCATGTTCCAAGACTATAGCGATCTGGAAGGAGTATATATATAGGAAGATTGAGGGGATCACGTCCCGATTTTTCTGGGAATATGTACGTGATTTACTCCTGATTTACTCTATTGATTGAGAAAATTTGATTCGTTTGAGATATGCTGGGGAAGGAACGGGAGGGAATCCATGGCATCAAAAGCTTTGATTTTGTTGTGATTTTGGAATGGTTTGATTCTATTGAGATTTGTGGGAAGGAAAAGGATACCTTGCCGTTTGGTGACATCAGTCAAGGTGAGCGTACTAGGGAGGGCTGGGACGTGGGATAGATGATGGAGAAAAACCAGAAAAGATCAGTGGGATTCGGTTCAAAAGAAAATCGGTGGAGGGGGTAACGAGGGGATGACGTGGCTTATCGATTGAGGTGGGATGGGAGGACGAACGAACCAACGACGTACGAGCTGTGTCATTAGGAGTGCATCAACAGCAGCACGACCCATGCTTGAGAAATCCATAGACAACACGGAGTATATACAGTAGCAGCATCAGATTGAAAAGTTTTGGCTCACAAGCTGGTGCCCTTCATGTTCCAAGACTCATGAGCGATCTGAAAGGAGTATATACAGGAAGATTGAGGGGATTACGTCCCGAATTTTTTTCTGGGAATACTTATGTGATGTACTCCTGATTTACTCTACTTATTGATATAATTTGATTCTTTTGAGATATGCTGGGGAAGGAACGGGAGGGAATCTGTGGCATCAAAAGCTTTGTTTTTGTTGTGATTTTGGAAAGGATTGATTCTATTGTGATTTGTGGGAAGGAGAAGGATACCTTGCCATTTGGTGAGATCAATCAGGGTGAGCGTACTCGGGTGGGCTGGGACGTGGGATAAATGATGGAGAAAAAACCAGAAAAGATCAGTGGGATTCGGTTCAAAAGAAAATTGGTGGAGGGGGTAACGAGTGGATGACGAGGCTTATCGATTGAGAGGTGGGATGGGAGGATGAACGAACCAACGACGTATGAACTGTGTCATTAGGAGTGCAGCAGCAGCAGCACGACCCATACTTGAGAAATCCATAGACAACACAGAGTATATACAGTAGCAGCATCAGATCGAAAAGATTTTGTCTCACAAGCTGGTGCCCTTCACGTTCCAAGACTATCATAAGTGATCTGGAAGGAGTATATACATGAAGATTGAGGGGATCACGTCCCGAATTTTTTTCTGGTAATACGTACGTGATGTACTCCTGATTTAATCTATTGATTGAGATAATTTGATTCGTTTGAGATATGCTGGGGAAGGAACGGGAGGGAATCCGTGGGATGAAAAGCTTTGATTTTGTTGTAATTTTGGAAAGGTTTGATTCTATTGAGATTTGTGGGAAGGAAAAGGATACCTTACCGTTTGCTGAGCTCAATCAGGGTGAGCATACTCGGGAGGGCTGGGACAGGGATAAATGATGGAGGAAAAACCAGAAAAGATCGATGGGATTCGGTTCAAAAGAAAATCGGTGGAGGGGGTAACGAGGGGATGACGAGGCTTATCGATTGAGAGGTGGGATGGGAGGACAAACGAACCAACGACGTACAAACTGTGTCATTAGGAGTGCATTAGCAGCATCATGACCCATGCTTGAGAAATCCATAGACAACACGGAGTATATACAGTAGCAGCATCTGATCGAAAAGATTTTGGCTCACAAGCTGGTGCCCTTCATGTTCCAAGACTATCATGAGCGATCTGGAAGGAGTATATACAGGAAGATTGAGGGGATCACGTCCCGAATTGTTTTTCTGGGAATACGTACGTGATGTACTCCTGATTTGATCTATTGATTGAGATAATTTGATTCGTTTGAGATATGCCGAGGAAGGAACGGGAGGGAATCCATGGCATGAAAAGCTTTGATTTTGTTGTGATTTTGGAATCTATTGAGATTTGTGGGAAGGAAAATGATACCTTACCGTTTGGTGAGATCAATTAGGGTGAGCGTACTCGGGAGGGCTTGGACGTGGGATAGATGATGGAGAAAAAACCAGAAAAGATCGGTGGGATTCGGTTCAAAAGAAAATCGGTGGAGGGGGTAACGAGGGGATGACGAGGCTTATCGATTGAGAGGTGGGCTGGGAGGACGAACGAACCAATTTACGATGTACGAACTGTGTTATTAGGAGTGCATCAGCAGCAACATGACCCAGGCTTGAGAAATCCATAGACAACACGAAGTATATACAGTAGCAGCATCAGATCGAAAAGATTTTGGTTCACAAGCTGGTGCCCTTCATGTTCCAAGACTATCATGAGCGATCTGGAAGGAGTATATACAGGAAGATTGAGGGGATCACGTCCCGAATTTTTTTTCTGGGAATACGTACGTGATGTACTCCTGATTTGATCTATTGATTGAGATAATTTGATTCGTTTGAGATATGCCGAGGAAGGAACGGGAGGGAATCCGTGGCATGAAAAGCTTTGATTTTGTTGTGATTTTGGAATCTATTGAGATTTGTGGGAAGGAAAATGATACCTTACTGTTTGGTGAGATCAATTAGGGTGAGCGTACTCAGGAGGGCTTGGACATGGGATAGATGATGGAGAAAAAACCAGAAAAGATCGGTGGGATTCGGTTCAAAAGAAAATCGGTGGAGGGGGTAACGAGGGGATGACGAGGCTTATCGATTGAGAGGTGGGATGGGAGGACGAACGAACCGACGACGTACAAACTGTGTCATTAGGAGTACATCAGCAGCAGCACGGCCCATGCTGGAGAAATACGTAGACAACATAGATTATATGCAGTAGCAGCATCAGATCGAAAAGATTTTGGCTCACAAGCTGGTGCCCTTCATGTTCCAAGACTATCATAAGCGATCTGGAAGGAGTATATACAGGAATATTGAGGGGATCACGTCCCGAATTTTTTTCTGGGAATACGTACGTGATGCACTCCTGATTTACTCTATTGATTGAGATAATTTGATTCGTTTGAGATATGCTGGGGAAGGAACTGGAGGGAATCCGTGTCATCAAAAGCTTTGATTTTGTTGTGATTTTGGAAAGGTTTGATTCTATTGAGATTTGTGGGAAGGAAAAGGATATCTTGCCGTTTGGTGAGATCAGTCAGGGTGAGCGTACTCAGGAGGGCTGGAACATGGGATAGAAGATGGAGAAAAAACAAGAAAAGATCGATGGGATTCGGTTCAAAAGAAAATCGGTGGAGGGGGTAAGGAGGCTTATCGATTGAGAGGTGGGATGGGCGGAGGAACCAACTACATATAAACTGTGTCATTAGGAGTAGAGATACAGCCCATTAATAAGCCAAGATAACTGTAAAAAAACGAACTTCCGCAGCATCCATCATCCATCCATCTCTTCGCCCCGCACCAAACCAAAACCCTCACCGGCTCGCAGCGACCCACTCGCCGGCGCGGATGGGAGCACCCAGCGTCGGCGCTCTCGCCGCTTATCCCTAAGCAGTCCGCGCGCCACGCATCTGGTAGGTCGTCTTTTCCCTCACTCTCCCCTCACAGCTAGGACGTAGTATAGTTCTAACCTCCGCCCCGATCTGCAGATTAGACGCTCGTTGCGTCCCCAGAGATGGCGACGGGATCCATGGAGGCGGCCCTCACGAGCGATCCGACGATCAAGCTCCCCGACGACCTCCTGGTCGAGATCATCTCGCGCGTGCCCTACAAGTCCACCTGCTGCTGCAAGTGCGTCTCCACGCGCTGGCGGGACCTCATCTCCCACCCCGACCACCGCGAGAAGCTTCCCGGGTCGACCCTCGCCGGTTTCTTCTACAAAACCTGCGGCATAGGCCGCAATCCACGGTTTCCTCATGTTTACCAAAGCGTCTCGGGTAACTGGTGCCCTCTTGACGCCTCACTCTCGTTCCTACCTGAATGCGAGGAGCTCGACATCTTGGATTGCTGTAGCGGCCTCCTCCTCTGCCGACGCCGGACTGCCCCCAAGGCGTGGGATGACCCTGGGACATTGGAGTACGTGGTGTGCAATCCTGCTACTGAGAGATGGGTATCCGTGCCCGCCACCGAGTATTCCTGGTTTTTGAACGATGCTCGCCTGGGATTCGACCCGGCCGTCTCCTCCCACTTCCATGTGTTCGAGTTGGTAACTGCCGTGGCTTTGAATCTGAATAATAAGTATGATTATCGCATCGAAGAGGTGGGGATCTACTCTTCCAAAGCGGGAGGTTGGACACATCAAATTGTTTGGGACGATCCAACTGAGATACTCTGCTTATCAGGTGGCGCATTTTTCGACGGAGTGTTGTATTTACGTTCTGATAGTAACACAGTTGCAGCCATCGACGTGCAGGGTAATTATAGGATCATTCCTGTTCCTACTTCACCTGATGCTCGTGGTGTTCCTAATGTTTATGTATCACGAGGACAATTGTATCTCACAGATCATGGTTCTTCTGAACTGTCAATCTGGGTTCTTGAAGATTCTATTAGTGAAAATTGTTGGACATTGAAGCTCAAAGTCAGTTACTTGCAACTGTTTGGAGTAGAGTATTCAAGCGCCAGGGAACATTACGGTGTTATCTCAGCCCACCCAGAAGACAATGTGATATTCATAATTGTAGAATCTGCATCAGGGATCTTTTGGCAGATGAAATTATTTTCATACGAAATGGATTCTAAAGAGCTGCGTTTTGTATGTGATCTTGGACGGAATTCAAGGTGCCCTTATCTTTCATATGTTCCTTTGTTCTCGGAGTCATTGACGGATGGGCACTGAATATTTGTGTATTGAAGCCTCATAATTGTCCATGTTTCTGATGATGATAGTGGAGAATATGAGCAACAGTAATCTGGGTAAGTTGTAATAAGCTGATGGTGCTTGATTGAAGTCATGTACCTTACTTTATGCTGCTAGCTATTCAGTCAACTTCTCTGTTAATCATGGATACCTGATCGTTATATATAGATACGGCATGTACCTGTTGGTGCTTGAGTGATGTATTATATGACAGTACTCTGCCTGTGTTTGTGTAGTGTTATATATATATTGGAACTATTATGAATATTTTAATATCTGGATTCTGGTCTCTGTTATTTCTCTATATATTCGGTATGCCCACTTTTATTTGCGGCAGTACATGAATGGTTATGTTCTTGTTCTTAATCTGTCCTATAATGTATCTTGTTGTTTGGGTGGACCTTGAATGGCCAGGGCTGGTGTTGCATTTCCAAGGAGATTCAGTTGTCTTTGGTATTTCATTTATGTGCTGTATTTTCATGTCTGCTGAAACGGAGATTCAGTTTTCTGATAGTATATGAAATGTTGTTTCATTGCAAGTGCTTTTTTGCCTTTCTGGTTTTGATTGTGTTCATGTCACCTTCACTGGTCTCAAAGCATGGTTCCTCCAGATGCAAGTTCTAACAGACGAGTTGCCCGCTTCATTTTGTTAAGTCATGGGGACTGGGGCCTCTTGTCGTTGTGAATTCATGATCTACCTGTTGCAGATTTATCAACACAAAAACTTCTTATTGTTTGTTCCATGTTGTACTTTTGATTGTTTGTCAAGTGATATATATCTGGAGAACATTCAGATTGAAGGCAATATGGTCTGGACATTTGAATCATTTCTAGATGAAGAGTGATTTGGCATGCGTTGTGCACCGGGATATGTGGTTGGCATGTGTATTGGGTGGCATTTATGTCAATTTGTTCAATTCATGAGCAAAAAATGTCTGACGGTTTCTTGCTGCGATCCAATCTTCAAGGCGTGTACCTGAACATTTTTTAAAAGTTTCATGTAATGAAAAAAAGTGTTTGTTACGTTTTAAAAAGTGTAATTAAGAAATTCTTTTATTAAAAATGTTCATGTGATTTAAGAAATTAGGGTAATATTAGATGAGCATTTTTAAATACTCGTTTCTTGTTGAATTATTGTCTATACTTTATATTTTTATAGAAAAGAAGAAAATAAATTTATGTTTGAAATGTTTTTTAATTACCAAGAAATCTTTATCTTTATCTTTACCTATTAATAAAGAGAATTGGGTTTCTGCCCGTATGCCGTCGCTAACGATTTTGCATAGAAGTCCATCTGTTTGTGAGAATTCGACCCGCGGTCCTATTTTTAAGTGGCTAATCTGAAAAAATGATTCGTTTTTACATAAAGGACCCTGCAGTTTTTATTATTCGACCTGCGACCACAGGACAGTCAAAAGGCGGCGCTTGGTTAGTGGTCTGGGCGGCGGGGCGGACGGATCGAGGCCGACGGAGAGGTGGCCGGCGGCCCGAAGGCAGGGCGAGCTCCAAGGCGGCGGATGAATGGGCGCTCCTCTCGGCCCTCCTCCTCCCGACCGTAGGACAGGCAAGAGGCGACTCTTGATTAGTGGTCTGGGCCGATCCAGCGGCGGGGCGGACGGATCAAGGCGGAGGAGCACGAGGCTGACGGAGAGGTGGTGGGCCGGAGGCGAGGCAAGCTCCAGGGCGGCGGGGTTGTTCCATGGCTACTTCCTTCCCCGTAGAAAACAAAGATTAGTGACAAAGAGAAGAAGGAGAAGGAAAAAGCCTAGAGAGAGAAGGACAAAGGGGCGGCGACAACTGCTGGGATGGCCTGCTCGTGGCATAGCTAGAGCTCCTCTCCAAGCGCGGTCGGAGGCAGGAAGGCCGGGCTGCTGGAGTGGGAAGAAGGGGGGATTTGCGTGGTTTTGCTGTAAAAGTAGGTTTATTATCAGAATAAATAGTATCTCCTCGCTCATTTGTAATCAATAGGATCAATTTATATACACCAGCTGCTTGAGGCATCTACAAGCAGAGGAAGGGAACTGAAGAAACAACTACAAGCACATAATCGGCAGCGGCTGCTTGAGGCATCAACAACCAGAGGAAGAAGGGAACAGAACGAAGAAGCACAATCCAATCAGCAGGAGGACGGACGGCCCCTTGAGAAATAGAAAATGTGTCAATACACAGTATGTTTTGGGCTACTAGATTCGCTGATGACAGAACCACAAGATCACTTCCATCCCCGCACGCACAGCGTCTCCAGCCACCAAAACAACACTCACCGCGTCGCATGAGTAACTCCGTAGAGCCACAACAGGTAGTCAGCTTGGAGCTCCTCAAGTTGTAGCGCCCGGCCCTTGGAGCCAGCTCGTGCGGGCTAGCAGTAGCGAGCCCCTGCATTGCAAAAAACCCGCAGCTTGCGCGTGTAGGCGAGCACGACAGCGCCTCCTCTGGCAGCATCGAAGCGCGCCCGGACGACGGAAGCTTCTCGCAGCAAGACACCCTGCCGTGCATCGTCTCCAGCGTCTTCCGTCGACACAGTTGCCTGGCGAATGAAGATGAGGAAAGTGAGAGGGAAGGGGAAGAAGAGGAAGAATCGGGGCGAGAGGTCGAGAGGATAAGATTTCAGCGGTGGGGAACGAGGGGGAGGGGGGATAAGGCGTCACGCCGTAGGACACATGACGACAGGAAGAGGCGTTTTAGATCAGTGACTTAGAAAAGGAACACAATATAGTCTTGCAAACAAAAAAAAAACCAACATTTCCTAAAAAAAATACTAAACCTGTTTGCTTTTTTTTTTGCGAAAAATACCTCCGAACTATATTAAAACAAGCCAATGGTACAAAGCACCCCCACAAGAATGAAACTTACAAACAGATCCCTGAGGAGCCGACCGTGCGGGCTGAGGGCGTGCCGCTGCTGCCGTTGCCGCCGCTCCCACACAGAGCCAGCGCGATCTTGAAACCTGCAGACGGACTGAAACACGGACGGGAAGTCACCAGCCTCGGTCGAAAACCAACATGCCAGAAGAAGGTAGAACGGCCATCGCTTGACCATGCCGGCAGAAACATAGTTTAGAGGTCCACGAACAACACCTGAAGATACGACGAAATGCGCCGCCGGCATCCACCGACGCACCGCCACATCACCCCCAACTACCCATGGCAAGGAGAGGAACCACCTTACCATGACGAAGAGAGAAGCAGGGGACCAAATTTCCCACATCCGACCATCACCTCCGCCATGAAAGACCACACCAGGAGAACCAAACCTCACTAGACCGACTGATCGAGGAGGAAACCATGCCGGAAGCTCGCCGACTCCGCCACATAGGACCTCGCCGGGATGGGGATCAAACTCCAACAACCTTATTCCACCACGACACCAGCACAACAACCTCGCTAGCACCGTCGGGGACCGCTACCCTACTATCAACACGCGTCAGGCACAGATCCAAGCCCCCCCCCCCCACACACACTCTCCAGCCGCAGCCTGAGAGGGAGGCGACCGTCAACTCGGCCGTCAGCGGAGCGAGGAACTTCCTTTTCACGAACCTGTTTGCTTTTGAATATTAACAAACAAATTTTATATAAACAATCCTACTTCAATGCACCACAATTCTTCCGTTCGGTGATGGTACAATGCCGAAGGAGACGCCATCAAAGATATGGATGCGGCTTCATCAATTTTTTGAATTGTGGACACCAACCACGGTGTCGAACATGAAAAGTGTCATTGTGAATGAGTCACTAAAAATATGATGCTTTTTTTTTCAGTGCAATGCACAGCGCATTAAATTGCAGCATACAAAGGCTAAAGGAAATCTTCTTTTGAAAAACACGTACAAACATAGGCACTCACAAACATACATACGCACTCACCCTAGAGAGACTCAGCCGAGTCTTCAGATTGATAAAGTCACCACAAACATCTAGCTATCAATGCAAACTTAGTTCGACCCTCTGTATATCCCACTAAAAACAGATACACCACTCCTCTTCCACCAATGATAATGCTAAGTTGAAGGAGGCGCCAACAAAGAAAATCCTTACGACTTTCTCAACTTGATGCTTCATTGTGCAGATACCATCAATCTTTTTTTTCTTAACCACGGACATTGTGTGTGTGTTTTTTAAGATAAAGAGTGTTTCAGTTTGTTTTCCCTTTCAAAAAATCCACATTTTTTATAATAAATTCACACTTTTTTAAAAATTCTCAAAATTCCCCAAAAAATGTCCCTTTTCAAAACATTTAAAATTGTTCATAAAAATAAAAATTAATAATTCTTAAAAAATCATGTGTTAAAAATGTTTGTCTTGAAAACATGTTTTAGTTCTAATAAAAAAATCATAAATTATAAAATGTTCAAATTTTCAAAAAATAAATTAATATTTGTGTTTTTGGAAAAGTAAAAAATAAAACCGATTGACAGACTATTTCATGCACCCTTACTCTTCCATCAGATTAAAGACATTAAGGTGGTTTTTTCACGTCCATACTTCATGCTTCAAAAAGCGATAATATTGTAATCTTATTACCGATGTTAATCAGAACTACATATATGAAATGTCGTGTAATGGCACACAGAGCAGGTTTTACGATTTTTTCTGCCCGTTGCAACGCACGGGCATTTGTACTAGTAGAAACAAAAAGGGAACCATGAAAATATAAAAATTAAAAAAATGTAAGAACGAAAAACCCTAAGAAAGACCTGCTAAATTATAGAAAACCAGAAAAAAAAAGCTGGATCACAAAAAACTTGACACAAAAAGCAAAGAAAACTGCGTAACTAGCACGCTAACCACCACAGAGTCTTTGGCCAGCCCAGGTAGGCTCGGCTCTAGGCAAGTGTGGGCTATATCTTACAATAAGCGATAGGTGGCGTTTAAGAACGTTGTGGTTTTCAAAAAAAAAAAAAACGTTGTGGTACCCCACATGGCAAATCCAAGAGAATCCTCGCCCTATTCTACACTTTAGTGCCGAGAGGCCGAGAGGGATATGAGAAGAATAGCCCATCCGGGGTGCAACAGGTCTGTGGTCATGTCCTTTTCGAGCCTTGCTTTATTTGTTTATTATATGTCACAATTTTATAAAATTTTAGTTCAGTTTGAAAAACAGAAAAATACACTCACTCTGTAAACTAATATAAGAGTGTTTAGATCACTAAAATAATGATCTAAACGCTCTTATATTAGTTTAGGAGGGAGTATTGCACAAATAATAGAATGTTCATGTTCGTCGTATATTCAGAAGATAATCATAACACATTTAAAAAAAATCATTCTATATTAAAACCATGTTCATCGGGTACTTGAAAATGAATGTATATATAATAAAAAGAGAAACTGATTAAATGAACGTAGAAAGGAAAGGAAGGAAGAGAAAACCTACTTTTCACAGATAAAAAAAGAAAAATACCAATAAAAACTTGAAAAAAAAAAGAAATAGAAGAAACGGCACATGAGCCGGCCTAGAATGGTGCGTCCTTCCTGGACTAAAGCAGCTTGATTAGCACCGGGGTTCGCATGGATGCAGGAGCAAAGATGGCACACGCCACACGCACGTTAGCCTGATACGTACCCCGGTAGTAGTTAATTAAGCTTTGCTTAGCTAGAGCGTAGCTAATTATTTTTGCCAGCACAACGTAGGCCTCGATCTTCGCCTCATTTTTTTATTCAAGATGGTGAGATGATTGACGTCACTGCGCAATTGAACCCGGTCGACACACACTGCTTCGTCTCTCGACGGTACACAGTGGACTCGTCGGACGGAAGGGTGCAATCATGCACTAAAATTTCCATTTATTTTGCTATATCGACATCTAATTATATATGCAGCTAATATAAGAAAAATATAGCTTTCAGTTCCATTGTTTGGAAGCAAGAAAATATTCATGCACATGTAGCATAGTGTCACCGATTCTTTTCTATTGAGGGAAGCGTCACCACCGGTATATATGATGGAATAAATACAATAAGTTAGAGCATCTCCAGCCGCGCCCCCAACAGGACTTCCAGGCGAATTTTTAGCGCCGGTGGCCGAAAATCAGCCTAGTCGCGCCCCCAGGATCTCGTTTAGCGCCCGTTTGGCCGAAATCCAGAGCCGGCAGTCCTGCCTCAAACCCAAGCGACCGGGTGTTGTCTGGGCGCGCCGGCGGAAACGAAAAGAGGCGTGGGGCCGCTCTGTCGGCAACTGGAAGACTTTTTCCCGCCGTCAAACTCGACTTGCTCCGCGCCAACGCCGCCGCAAAACTCCAAGCTCAAGATGCCAAGAAGAGGAACAACGACCTCGCCTTCTTGATGGGCGGCGCTGACATGCTCCAGAGCGGCAACGAGAATCTCAAGGTGTGGTTCTTGGCCCAGCGCGGTCTCATCCTGAACCAGATACCGGCGACGCCGACGCCGACGCCCAACCAGGCGGCTGCCGATGATGACGACGAGACCAGGGACGACGATGTCTCCGCCTCCGCGACGCCCAGTCCCACCGACGATGCCTCCGCCGCGCCCAACAGCACAGAAGAGGCGCCGAGCAGCCCGGAAGCTGCGTCGATTCCTCCAAGCCCGCGTACAACGACGACTACGCCGCCGGAGGTTGAGCTCGACGCTTGATGTACTCCTTCCGCGCCCTTCCTTTTTTGTGCGCCGAATTACTGCATGTCCTTTTATTTTGATCGCTGAACTGTGACACCGACTCGACGAACTATTGCGATGATCGCGGTTTGATGTTTCTTTAAGCGGAAATGATGTTTTTCGAATATGGAGCACCTTAGGGGGCGGCGCCTGGGCGCGTGACTGGGAAAAAACAAATTCCAGGTCCGATCTAGCGTCGGCTCGCCCCCAGACCGGCTTTTTTCGGCGCCCTGGAAGGCCGAACGGCTGGAGATGCTCTTAGGGCTAGGTCTGAGTCGACTGAGATTTAATCAAGTCTTAATCGAGTGACATAACATGAAAGGGAAAAAAATTCACATACCTGATTATAGGATACCATCGACGGGTCTCAATGGACTAAGACTTAGCAAAACTGAATAATAATAAGTTTACTATAACGCCTACAGCTAATTAAGGGCTAACCTTGTTAGGTGAGCCATGATATCAAAAACTTTTCACTTCGCATCCTGAAATTTTATTTTCAAGCCAACCGGCCATTGACCAAATACTCCAGTGCGATTCCCCTAATCCCCTCCAGTACAAATGCCCCGGTCCGCTCCCGTCTGACTCCACCTGCACAGACCTTCTGTCCCTGCTACAATGGCCCGTCTCGCCACCCTCGCCGTGCTCCTACTATCCCTCCTGGCCGTCGCTAGCTGCCGCGTCCTTGAGACCATCTCCGACGACCAGGGTTCATCCAACTCCGTCCTCCTCACCCAAGATGATCAGGCGGAGGCTGCTGTTGCTGAGGTGACCCTTCCGGCTTTGCCCACCACGGCCGTTGCCGTGGACGAGGGCATGCTCCGGCTCCCCTCCCACCGCCGCCCCTGCCACCTCCACCGTCACCTCTGGTGGACGCGCCACCACGGCCTCTCCCACCACCGGGGCGCGTTCTCCGGCTCGGGCGAGGCTCGTGTCCATCCGGCCGTCGACGTCGTCGTGCCCACCGAGCTTGCCCGCGAGGAACAGCAAGAGCCTAGTGTGCCGGAGCTGGAGGCGGTCGCGGAGCCTGACCCCGACTCACGCCCGGACACAGACGCGGCAGAGAAGCTGTTTCATGGCGACGAGGAAGAGGCAGCGAACGCGTGGAAGGTGGAGATGCTGAGGAGGTTCCGCCACGGCATCCGCTTTCACCCCCGCCACCATCTTCACCACCAACACGAGCAAGACGGGGAGGAGCACGACGACCACGAGCAGGACAAGGATGAAGGCACGAGCATGAACCTGTTCGGGCGCTTCCACCACCGCCACCATCTTCGACACCACCACGAGCAGGACGCGGAGGAGGAGGACGGCCACCAGCAGAACAAGGACGAAGGCCCGAAGATGAAGCTGTTCCGACGTTTCCACCACCACCACGCGCACGACAGCGACAACGAGGTCGACGAGGTGGAAGAACTGGCTAGGAAGCTGAGCGAGGCGATCATGAGAAGGAGCTTCGGCCATGGCGGCCGCCGCCACCACCACCACCACAACGGCGCGGAGGGCGGGGTGAAGAAGTGGTTCAAGGGCCTCATGAACCGATTCTAGACGTACCTACAAGTATCGATCGCCGGCCGGCGGCTGGTTGATTTGGTCGTTTAATTACTTTGGTTAATCTGTTCGCTGCACTGTATGCGTGACGTGGAGTGCTCTGCCATTTGGTACCTTTTTTGCTTCCTATTCCACATTACATTACCACTTCGGTTTATGTACTTTTTTTTGGGGTATATGTACTGCTGTGTTAGTTTACTCGTGAGGGTTGGGAGATTGTACGAGCAGCAATTTTATGTGTTTTTCTGCAGATTAAATAATAAATTTCTCTTGTTATGCATGTATATGTGTAATATTATTGTTATCCCGTGGGTTCGTATTAAAAAAGGGCATGTTCATCGATCTCTGCTTTTCCCTCGCGTTTGCATGTTCCTTCTGTTACCAGTTATCAATTGTAGTGTTTAGAATTGCACATAGCTAAAATTTCAACAAAATTTCGACGAAACTCCTGAGATTCGGTGAGCGCCGAAATATTTGTAATTAAGTTTGCAATTTAGAGCCAGATTTAAACTAATTTTAGAGCAAATTAAATCAGGTCAATTTTTTTTGAATAATCCGATGAAGTTGATGGATCAAAATCCAGAATTTTTCCCACTGAAATTTGGGTGAGGTCAAAATTGTTATGTTACCGAAATATTAAACCATCGTTGCCGCTTGGGAACTCAAACTGTTGCAACCTTGGTGTTTCTTATATTCCTTTTGCATGGGAGACAATTTGCCCTTTCATTTCAGGGCACATACATTTTTCATATAAAAATTTCCGAACCTCCACTAGTGCAGAACCGGGCAATAGCACCGGTTCGTAAGGCCCTTTAGTGCCGGTTCCATAACCGGCACTAAAGTGTGGGCACTAAAGGCCCCCCCTTTTTAGTACCGGTTTAGCACGAACCGATGCTAAAGGAAAACCACGTGGCACGAGCCAGCTCCAGGGGCCTGGAGTCCTTTAGTACCGGTTGGTAAGACCAACCGGTACTATAAGATTTGGGGGGTTTTAGTTTTGCGATTTCTTTTTCATTTAATTTTGTGTTTCCATTTTAATTCTTTTTCGTTTGCTGGTATTTTACGATACTACACATTGTACACGTTATGCATATATATATATATATATATATATATATATATATATATATATATATATATATATATATATATATAGAATTTCTAGTAGAACCAATCATGCATATATATATATCATCAATGTCTCACAAACCATCATATTAATTAATTCACACATACACACATGGATAGCTATATACAATTTCTCCTACGTATGCATGTTGCCTTCGGAGCCAGTGGCGTTATAGCCTAATTGGTGCCTTCGGAGCACGATGACAATTGGAAGTGGTTTTCATTGGGGCGGTAGCGGGTAATAGTATTCTCCCTTCGGATTTATGACCTGGTCGAGCAAAAATCCCGCTATTTCCTCTTGAAGTGCTTCTACGCGCTCCGTTTCTAGGAGCTTCGCCCGCACCTCTCTGAACTGTTAAGAAGGAGATCAATATGCATGTGTATTAGTTGTGTGACTAGATATCGATAATGGTGTAAAAATTATGAATAGTGTTTTGACAAGCGTACCCATTTCTGTCTTTGAGATCTGCTCCTTTCAGACGCCATCATGTGAATGTTCTCGCAAACGCAGAATGCACACAGATCAGTCCCCTGCGCCTGCTTCAGAGCCTTTACGAGAATGGAATTTGATCAGATAATAATTAACCAAGCATGATAATTAAAGAGATGGCAGCTAGCTAGCTAGCTAGTACTACTTAATTACTTACCTTGGGTCTTCCCCATTTAAGTTTTTCTTTCCATTCGCCGTTCGTAACCCTGATGAACCTTGCCCAAGCCCTGCCCGCCGAAAAAGAAAATAAATAAAGGGGTTATTAAATGGTTCATATCATGAAATGACGAACTAAATAGGCCGAGATATATAGTTAATAATGATTGAAATTACCTGTTGACTATCCCAAACAAGATGTTATAGTCTGTTTTTTCTTTGAGTAGTGAGTCCAGTATTTCAACTATTCCGGCGTCAACTTTAATGATACACAAGACCCAGTGATATCTGTATGCACACACGTTTGCATGTCTTAATTAAGCGGGCATATGTAAGCAAAAACATGTAGCTAGCTAGTAGGCAAAAACAGAGAATTTGTAGTACAAGACAGTGTGACTCACTAGAAGTTGTAAGGAAGTAGTATATCTTCATTGTATTTGAGGCGCTTCAAGAACTCTAGCATGCTGTCCTCTACGGCCTTTTGATGACGTTCATCTATTTTCCATGTGTATTCATTAACGGTGTTTGGGTCAATGAACCCAATGCCATAGCGTCCACCTTTTCTCATTTCATACATCTTCATCCTGCATATAATACCACACAAAAGAATATAGTGAGGATAATTACAGGTAATGATAAGGATCACTACAGCTAGCTTGAGACTTAAATTACAGAAAGAAATCACTTACAGACAATAGCAACTGACGATAGATTTGTCGAGTGCGTCTTGATTGTATAACTGAAACAGTTCAGAATACTCAACGGACACAGTTTTCTCATGGTAGTAATGATCCTCCTTGACATTCACCATGAGGGACAATCGATTGGAAATCTTGGTAATGTTCATGTACCATTGATGCAATTCATACATTCTCGTTGGGAGGTTCTTGACCTTGTCTGGCTCGACCAAAGGTTGGCCCCGGACATATTTCCGTTTTATTTCATCCTCTCTAAGCACAGGCATGGGCTCGATCTCGAGGAGTTGTCCAACAGTGATTTTGAGAACTTCAGCCTGCATTATATGCTCCTCCGTTATTACCACATTGCCCACCTCAGAAACGTAAACTGTTTGCCCACAATAATATTGGGCGCGGGTACTGTCACGTGTTATTGGCACAACAAGCGAGGGGATCGATTGCGCCGCCTGTTCTCCCAGCTGGGGAATGGTTTTCCCGCATTTTTTGACAGCTGCTTCTTGTTTGCTCGATCCCGAGCTCGCCTCCTTACGTACACGTGCTTGATTTAACTTCCTGATGTGGCGCTCATAGTCTGTGTCAACAGGCTCGGGATCTGGTGGTTGAGCCATACGAATGAAGTGGTCAATCGTTTCCTCAGGCACTTTCTCCCTTGGTGGCGGTGGCGGTTTCGGTGCAAAATGGGCTTCCACCTCGGACTTCGATATGGCTGCGATTTCCTCCTCGGACCTGTCATAAGCCCTCTGCGGAAGAGGCGTGAGGCTTGGACTATATTTATATCGCTTGCCTCCGCCTATACTTCCTGTACTACATCGACTCGTACCGCTACGCACCATAGCTGCGGGGTGTCTCTTCTGTGATTGCTGAGGCGGCGGAGACAGCTGACGGGGCTGAGTTGGACGAGGAGGAGTGGCCGCCTGAAGCTGTGCCGGACTTGGAGGAGGAGTGGCCTGAGGTTGTGCCGGACTTGGAGGAGGAGTGGATGTCTGACGCTGTGGCGGACTTGGAGGAGGAGGAGTGGCCTGACACTTTGCCGGACTTGGAGGAGGAGTGGCCTGACACTTTGCCGGACTTGGTGGACTTGCAGGAGCGGGAGACTGCTGACTCGGTGGCGGACTTCGACGAGGAGTCGGCTGACGCGGTGTCGGTGGCCTTCGAATGATGATGCAATCCTTTTTCCATAGGATGATACTATGTTTGGCGTCTCCGAGAAAGCGCTCGTCGTCACCTCCAGGATAGTCAAGCTCTAGCTCCGAATATGGGTCCACCACCTCATCAACCAAGACACGAGCATAGCCCGCTGGAATCGGGTTGCAATGGAAGGTTGCCTCGGGGGGATTTGTAAAAGCAACGACGTCCGCCACCTTCATGGATATGTTCTTCATTTTGACGTGTAGCTCGCAGCTAGTGTTCTCCGTGATGTCATCCACATCTACCCAGCATTGCGTCGTCCGGGGCGGAACCCACGCTGCTTCTCGGCATGGATGGGGCGGTGCTATCCAATGCTGGATTATTCGCTAGCTGCTGCAGCTGCTGAGACCCCCTTTGCTGGGTAAGTGAGTCGATCTGCTCCTGCTGCCGCTGGAATTTGACTACCAATTCCGCTTGACTTGCTTCTAGGCCTTGAAGGCGTTCATAGTCCCGCTTCCTCTGCTCCTCCTCCATCTTCCTCTTCTTCTCCTCCGCAATCTTCTTTCTCGCACGGGTTCTGTAGTCGGTGTTCCAGTCTGAGAACCCCTCATACCACGGAATAGCGCCCTTGCCTCGTGTTCTTCCTGGGTGTTCAGGATTTCCCAGGGCACGCGTAAGCTCGTCGTTCTATCTGTTGGGCTGGAACACCCCCGATCGTGCCTCTTCTATTGCAACAAGTATCGCATCGTCGGCTCCCTTCAGACTTGCCCTCGTCGAAACATTGCCTGTCTTCGGGTCCAACTCCCCCCCATGCGCATAGAACCAAGTCCTGACCCTGGGGGGCCAGCTCTTAGTAACCGGAGTGGCACCTGCATCCTCCATCTCTTTCTCAGACTTATCCCACTTAGCCATTGCCACCGCAAAGCCACCTGGCCCCAGCTTATGGAACTTATCCTTTTTTTCGGCATTCTTCTTGTTTATTCTCGACCGTTCCTTAGCTAATTCCGAATCCTTGAATTTCACGAAATCGTCCCAATGAGCACGTTGGTTCTCTAGTGTTCCCTCGAATACTGGAGTCTTCCTTCCTCCCTTGACGTACTTGTCCCATTCACGATTCTTGTGGTTCTTGAATGCAACCGCCATCTTCATAAGAGCAGCGTCCTTGACTTTCTGCACTTCTGCTTCTATGAAATGATCTGGTAGGGTGAAATGTTCCATGAGAGTATCCCAAAGCAAATCTTTTTGATTCTTGTCGA